TTCATTTATTTGTAGATGACAAGATGCCACCTAAAATTATCAGTACTTTTAACAATGAATATTATTTTCCAATGAATTCCAAACTAACTGATGCAAGGATTGAATGCAATGCAAAGAATGGAAATATCGAGTAAGTTTGGTTTGGTTTCATTTTAAAGCTGAATCGGGAATTTTCTGTAATTTGGTCAGTCTTTTAGAATTATTTATTTCGCGATTCATCGTTATTGTTGATGGTAACATATACAGATAAAAAATTTGGTACATTGGTAAAGTGTCAGTTGTCTTTCTTAATTGATTGTCTGTCTGATTGGTATGAAACATATGGAGATAACGAACAGTATCCAAGATCAAAAGTCCATAAAACAATACAAAATAGGAGCAGAGCAAACACGGACCTCCAAAACATAAGGTGGGATCAGGTGTTATGGAGGAGTGAGCATACCCCGTCGACCGGTCACACCCGTCGTGTGCTCCCTGTCATGGTCGGAAAAAAATCCGTCGTCAATTCAGTGTACGAGGGGTGTTAGAAAAGTTCGCGGACAAGTTCTATTTTGAGCGCGCTATTTCCACGAAACCGGTCAAACTTTCCAGATAAAATCTTTACCTTTTTTCAATAAATTCAAGAATGCTTCTGTATCCCGGATGAAATGAAAAATATACAGCTTTTTTATTTTGATAAAATCACGTATGCAAAATACATCAGTTAGCATTTACTCAAATAAATTTTATTTGCTAACAAGGTCATTGTACCGCAAAGTGATATATTACCTGCCCTAAAGTATTAGAAATTTTGAACTAAACTGGAGCGTATATGACTGTTTTATAGCCGTTTATAACTGATCAACGCTTAAAAACAAAGATATATGGAGCACTGCACTACGTAAAAATTATGTATGCAGACTGGAAAATGTCTAAAAAGAGATTAAAATGTTCTTGTTTCACCTACAAAGGACAAGTTTTCAAATGGTTGTAGCTTCATAAGAATGGAAAGATTAACATTTTGAATGATTAACTCCTCGATACTTCAAAACCCACATTTGGATGCTAAGTATTTAATCCATTGTTTTTCATATTTTAAATTTTGAATTTTGTTGCGTTGCGCCTATATGGTTTTGCATAGTTTCCATACCTGATCGATTAACCGCATAGACTTTTTTTAAGATCTCAATAATATCCGAATTAGTACAAAACACATTATATTAACATGTCTTGATAATAGATATTCAATTTTAAAGTGGAAAAAAGATAAGAAAAATCTGAAGAAAAGATTTATAGAACTTGACAAAGCTTAAAAATTCCATAACGTCAAGTGATTGCTCGTGAATCCCATGACCTCATGTAAAAATTTTGTAAATTTTCAAATTTTATTATATGGACCTGATTTTTTACATACCAATAAACAAAATATAGGAATTTATACCTCAATTTCACAGTACACAGTATTTTCCGTAAAATATGTCCGCAACAAAACTTTTTAACACCCTCGTATAAATAATGGCAATGGAACATTAAAAAACATCAGTTAGCATTTGACTCAATGATAAATTTTATTTGCTAACAAGGTCATTGTATCGACCATAGAAATTACGAAATAATGATTTTGAACCAGACTCCTGATATTCTTGTTTCACCATCAAGATGTTTGTCAATAATTTACCTCGTTTTAAATATTTTTCACACGTAAAGCATGCTCTTGCTTTATCGAATCAATTGAGATATATAAACTCCGTATGCAGGTGATGAAGGTATTCTGCTTGATAATAGGGAAGTTGACTATTGAAAAGTTAAATTCATCACGTTTATCACAAAGTTTGGTTGTTAGATAACGTCTTTTTCAAGCACAATATCCAAACAGATGTAAACATAAATTACTTTCAAAACGATACTTCTTGAACTGTTTTACTCTGATTTGAAAAAAAAAATGTACGAGAAGGAAGTAGATTTCATTTGGATGCTAAGTATTTAATCCATTGTTTTTCATGTTTAAATTTTGAAGTAAGCTAGGATGTTGCCAAGTTTACTAAAACTATAATAAAATACATGCAAAGTTCTATAAAAATGTCAGGCCTTCATCTTACACATCCATAAGTTTTATCTTGTTTCTTTAAATTCAGGTCAGTGTAGAACTTTTCTTTATTTCAATAAAAAGAAATGTGCATGTTCCCTTTCTTAAGGTATACCTTTACTCAGATGACTAAAAATTCCATTGATAAGAACGAAACACCATCTACTGCACATTGTAATGATTCTTTTGTTAAATTTCAAATAACTAGGTCAATGACCTACTTTTCATGCTATTGGCCCCTCAGTATTTCTCGGAAAATACCCCAATTTTTCACTCTATGACAAATTTTTTCTTCACTCACAAAATATTACAAGCAACAAAACTCTTTAAATAATGAAATATTATAGCAATGGAACAGTGTTGCTTCATATTAAGAAACGATTAGAGTTTGGGCCATAAACTTAATAATTATGACCGTCCGAATTTCCTCTGTCATTTGTATATTTTTCCCCATTTTGAATCGAACATTAAAAAAATCTGAATGATAAGAACTATAAATGATTTATAGCCTCAGGTTACTTTTGTTGCCCTTATTCTCATGGTATTAATATTATATGGGGTCAATGATCAAATTATTGAAATATGCTGTCTGGAATGGTTTTGGTCATATTTTTGAATTTCTTTATTTCATAACATTTACTTATTTGAAATAATTTATGAGCTTTAACACATATAATATTTGCAAAATGATGTTTAAAAATACACGTTACCTTTAAATTGTAACTAATATTGCAAGAAATAATAAATTTTGACAAAAATGAAAAATTACAAATTTAGTCCGAATTTCCTCTGCAATACCATACATTGATTTTTGTTCTTGTTGATTTTCTTCGAATAATAAAATATCAAATTTTTAAATTGATATTGAGTTAAAACTTCGTAATTTTATCCATTTAGAACAAATTTTGATTTAACATATTATACTTTATAAAATTTCCTTTTTGTTTCCTGAAACCTGAGTAAACGTCATCCTTAAATAACTCATTTTAATAATAAAATACATTTTCACAAGAGAATCCTAGCTTCAGTAAACAGTTTTCACCTGCTACTGAAAAAGGAACTCTGAATTAATTTTGTTTGTTTGGAGAATGAAAAGACTAGGAGCCATTAAATTGATTGGAGTTTATTTTCAATACAGGAAAGGTTTGAATATGTATGTACAGCATTAATTGTGGTGATTTTTTTAAGATACGAATGGAAAAAGGATGGAGTAGTTGTTCTGAACAGCAAATATGTATCTGTGGACAAAGACACAGGAACCTTGAAATTTAACCAGATGCAGAGAACTGATTATGGGACCTATCAATGCTTTGCTAAAAATGATTTTGGAACTTCACTCTCCCCGCCCTTTGAAGTTAAAATGTCTTGTAAGTACACGGTAAAAAGTGATGACTGACTAAATATTTACACAAGTATGTAGAACACATATTGTTTGAATATCATCAAAACATGGATGTCCAGTAGTATGTCTGTCTATCCGACTACCTGTCCTCAACAGTCCTCCTCTACACGTTAAGTATGTTCAAATGACTAAATACATACCTGTCAACCTTCGTTTTGAAATCCTAATTGTAAAATTGATGGATTTTAAAAGAATCATTCTGTCAAATGATTTGGCCAGATTAGAGTTTTTTTATATAAGCAAACAGAAGTCTTTCATGCATGATATGGTCTTTAAAGAACATAATAAGATATGAAAGTGCAAATTTATTTTATTTCATAAAATTTAATTTTTTTTTTTCTCTATTTTAATTTATCTGTTATTAATAAGAATAAATGATCATTTAAACTATGATAGTTATTGCATAATTCTCTCATTATTTTAACCTTTCAAATACATTATTTTCGGTGATTGATAATAAAAAATGAATGGCAAAGTGAAATATCTTCTGTCAGCAGAATACAAAGTAATAGAGCCTTGACCAGATTCAAAACCAGACCAAAAAATAGCTTTGATTATTATTATACCCAGAAGCAGAGAAAGTTTTTCAAAGAAATGATGCATTTTTACAATAGACTATACACAGATGTACCCTAACACCTGGGTCATGAAATTTACAAATTTTTAACCAGGAGTATTATGTTTTATGCCCCTGTAAACGACGTTTTGGGGGTATATACAAGTAGTTTTTGCCCTGTCCGCCTGTCTGTTTGTCCGCAAAAACTTTAACCTTGTCCATAACTTTTGAGTGGGTGGGGCCTTGGCTTTTATATTCTTTGTGACAAGACCTCTCTTTGGATACCACCAAATTTTACCCCTTGACCTTGGAGTTTCACCTACTTAGAGAAAAAATACTACACTTTTTCTTTGGCCATAACTTTTAAACGTTTGGTGCTAGGACTTTCATATTTATCATATGTATTTTGTGTGACGAAACCTTTCATTGGATTTCAACAACTTTGAACTCTTGACCTTGGTAGATTAACCTACTTTTTAAAAACTTTAATATAGCCGTAACTTCTTAACGGCAATGGCTTGGTTTTTTCATACTTCATAAAAGTAATTCTTGTGACTAAATCTTTCCTAGCATACCAACAACTTTAACCCTTTGACCTTGACCTAGGAGTTTGAGCTACCTTTAAAAAACTCTAACCTTGGCCAAAACCTCTGAACGATTAAAGCTAAGGCTTTCATATTTCAAATATGTAATCCGTGTGATAAGACCTTTCTTTAGAAACCAGCTTTGACATTGACGTTTGACCTATTTTTAAAAAAACTTTAACCTTGGCCATAACTTTTGAATGGTTAAAGCTAAGGCTTTCATACTTCGAATAGGTACTGTTTGTTACATTTTTAGAAACCAACAATTTTGACCCTTTGACCTTGATCTAGTAGTTTGACCTACGTTAAACAACTCTTACCATGATCATAACATTTGAACAGGTGATTCCAGTTCATATTTCACAATTGAATTTCTTGTGAGAAGGTCTTACTTTGCACTTGGGCACCAGCATATTTGATTTCTATTTGAGAAAGTTTAACCTTCGCTATGTTGCCAGCTTGCCATACGGGGGCGTCATTGTTTCATTGTACAAACACAACTTGTTTTCTGTATAATCAAAAGACCCCTTCTACTCTTTTACCAGAACCCCTGATCTCAGGTGCCATGATATAAGTTTTACAATGTTTGAAGAGGCAGCTTTGTTGATCATAACCATTCATTTAATTTGTTTAAACAATATCCAGAAGCAGAGAGAAGATTTTAAAAGAATAGATGCATTTTCACTACTAGAGAGTATATAATCAACAGGGCCCCTCTAAATATCAGAACTCCTGACCCAGGGCCATGGAATTAACAATTTTGGAAAGAGGCACAATTGCTATTCATAACTATGCACTTATTTTTTTTTACTCCCAGGGGAAGAGAAGATTTTCAAGCCAAATAATGCACTTTCACCAAATGATCTAAACAAAAAATTTTGATATGTATCTCGATTTCTAGAAAGCTAAACTTGTTAAATTCTTGGCTTATAAGTTGATGGCTGAAGTAAAGGGGTTCCAATATCATTTTCAAGAAAGAGAACTATGAGAGTCTTACAGCCCATATTTTTTGTTGTGTATTGAAATCCATATTTTGTAGCAATGGGAGCTTTTCCTGCAAAAGAGCATGAGGAAATACAATGTAAGGAGTTTGAACACTGTCGAATTCCTTGTCGAGACAAACCAGAATGTTCACCAGATTCTGAGTGCAGAGTGGAGTGGAAAATTGGAAAAGGTGCCAAGACGAATGTGGAGTTATCGAAGAGAGTGGGGGTGGATGGAAATGGTTGGTGGAATTCTACAAAAAAAAACAAAAAAACATTAAATATATATATGGCAGTTGAACATTTTATTGTACAATTTTCAGATAACTTAAATTCTATTTACAAACTAAATTTATATTACTTATACATATAGGTGACCTACATTTTATATGGACAAAGAACACAGACTGGACTGGATTAGACTACAAGTGTGGAGTGTGGCAAGAACAGCTCAAGATGTTGGTTGTTGGCAGTCTAACGACTCTTAGAATTACCGGTAAGGATTTAAGTTTTATGAAAATTTATATAAGAAGATTGACTCTAACATTCACTGAATAGTTAAACAGTTTCATTCAATTTCAATGAAAACATTGTAAAGAAAAACATATACATATAGTTATTTAAACTTTTTCAAAATCTTCAAAACTACTGGGTCAATTTCAACCAAACTTTCCAAAAGCATTTTTGGATATATAGTAGTTGATTTTGATTACATAAAAGGCGTTACTAAATGGGGCGGTCCTTCGGATGAAACCGTATAAACCGATCCCATGTCATTTAAGGTTTAAACGTATACTTTAAAGTTTCCTAAAATTTCACTGCTCAAAGACCTGTAAGTGCCGTAGCAAGGCCTGATTTTTTGCAGCCCTTCACCGGCAATGGTGACGTCTATATCAGTGAAATATTCTGGAGAGGGACGTTAGTTTAAAATTAACACAATCAAAAGCGTTTAAATCCAAGCATTCTTGGATAAAGGGTAATTGATTTTGATTACATAAAGGGTTAGCACAATCGGAGATAATTAAGAATAATTATATTCTCAACCCAGATTTACGAATTTCCGTATACATTAAGAGTTTCTAAAATTTCACTGTCTTCCAAAGTCCTGTGTTCTCATGTAGAAAATGATCTGATATTTTGCATGTCTTATGATATTGATCACTGAAAGAAATACCTAGTTACATATAGTTCAATTAACTAGTGTGTCTAGTAAAGGGTCTGTCGTGAATAGTAATCATTGTTTAAAATAGCTGAGTAGTCATGGTATTTCATACTCTTGGATTTCAAAAATATTGCAAACTTTCACATGTTGCGTATCATGAGAGGCATTCGTGTCACAATGACACATCTACTTAGATATCGTTATTGATTTAAAAATGTTTTGTATCATTTTATTTTTATTTAGGTATTTTACAAATGTTTGAATGTATTCTTTAGGTGCCAGATTTACCCCCAGGTTGGATCCAGTTCTTGTCTATAAATCTAATGGCAAGGCCCACTACAGAGGCGAGGGTATTCTAAAGTGCATGTTTTCAGGATAGTGAGTAGAATTCATTATAATTGTGACAGTGTAATATACTATTATCACAGGAATATTATAACATAGTGACTATATTTTGTACTATTATTAAAGAAATATTATTACATTGTGAATGTAACGTACTGTCATTGCAGAATTATTATTACATTGTAAAGTAGATATGTAACGTACTGTTATTGCAGAAGTATTATTACATTTGACTATGTAACGTACTGTTATTGAAAGAATATAAAAATTTTGTGACAATGTACCATACTATTGTTACAGGAATTATAAAATTGTGACAATGTATATATTCTATATATTCAAAGCATATCATAACATTGTGACCAGGTAAATTCAATTATTTAAGTATTAAAATATAGAAATAAAATGTAACAATACAATATTTTATGAATATTTTTCATATTTCGACTATGTAAACATCTTTTGCTTGATAAAAAGTTTTGTGTTTGTTTAAATTTAATTTCGGGAACAATATTTTCGTCACACACATCTTTTAGATATCAGAAGAGCTTTTGATTTAGAAATGTTTTGTATCATTTTATCTACTTTTATATAGGTATTTTACAAATGTTTGAATGTATTCTTCAGGTGCTAGATTTACCCCCAGGTTGGATCCAGTTCTGGTGTATAAATCCAATGGTAAGGCCCAGTACAGAGGCGAGGGCGTTCTAAAGTGCATGTTTTCAGGATAGTGAGTAGAATTCATTATACATTGTGACAATGGAATATACTATTATCACAGGAAGATTATTACATTGTGACAATGTAACAAACTATTATTGCAGGGATATATAAATATTGTTACAATGTAAAATACAGGAATATTATAATTGTGACAATTTACATAATATTATTACAGGAATATTATAACATTATGGCAATGTGACATACTATTGTTAGAGGAATATTATAGCATTGTGACAATGTAACTTACTATTATTACAAGAATTATAAAATTGTGACAATGTAAACTTTTACATTTTAAGGCATATAATAACATTGTGACTATGTGGAATTCAATTATTTAAGGAATATTATAACATTTTGACAATGTAACATTTTTTTGCATAAATATCATAATATATTGTGACAATGTAAACATCTTTTGTTTGAGAAAAGTTCTGCGTTTGTTTGAATTTAATTTCCTGAAAGATCTTTGCATCACAAATCTTTTGGACTGTTCCATTTGTCAAGTTTTTAAAAGAAAACATATTATCTGTAAGTAATTTTATCGGTCAATTTTGTTTCTAGTCCAGCACCAGAAATTGAGTGGGTTTCTCCTGACGATGAAGCCATCAACAATTCTGCCAAATACGTCATCAGTGATTACAACAGGGTACTGACCATTAAGGATGCAATGCCAAATGATGAAGGTCATTACTCTTGTAGAGGAAAAGGCACTCACAAGATTGACCCCCAAAGAGTTTTTCTTAATGTTACCTGTAAGTTTACAATTTGAATCTATTTATTGAAGTTTGGCCATAGTTAACATATATGGACAGAGGAGTAAAAGTTTATGAGAAAAAGTCGATTATATATTTTTGAGTGTGTTAGCCTTTTTGTTGCAACTTGTTACTGTTTGAAAAAGTTTCACAGGTTAACCTGAAATTTGACATAAATAAGTAAATATGTTACTTAGACTAAAAGATATGGTAGAATATATCCTGTTAGGGATTTCCATTCATGCATGAAGCTATAAGGAATGGATATTTTTAGCTGCTCCAGTGCTTAATCCAGAATCAGAAGATCGTCAGATGAATGATTTGTTGGTGTCAGTTGGAAAAAATGCCACATTTTACTGTGAGGCTGTATCCTTACCCAAGGAAAATGCACCAACTCCTCCCCTGTGGATGAAAAATGGAGCAGTTCTTCCAACTGATGGAAACAGTATTAATGAAACCTCAAAAACTCGATTTTTGTGTAAAAGCTGTATTAAAGAACATTTCCCTGAAATTTATTCTATTTATACAAACTTCCATACTGGTTTTCAGATACCGGTAAGTACATTTTGAGCCCTGACCACGTTATGCTGACCGTTACCAATGTACAGAAAGGTTTAGACTGCGGAGTTTTTCAGTGTATGTCTGAAAACAGCGAAGGTGTTCTGTTAAAGGAGGCTTTACTCAAAGTTATAGGTAACACATTTTTTTTACAATTAAACTTAATCCACATTTCTTTATAATCTCTTCTGTTTAAAAGGTGGGGAGTGTACAGAATTTTCTGTGTAAATTGGGGGGATGGATGGGTGGGTGATGGTATTTTTGAGCTTGTCGAAACTGAAAAGTTTGCATTCCTCTAAAAAAAATATAACCAAACATTCTGAGAGTTTTGCATCAACAATGCTAAGTCCCCCATCAGCAAGTGTAATCTGATTCTCGTTAAAATTGAAAAATCTATAAGTTTGTCAAAAATCGATGGAGAGGAATGAAATGCGAACTTTGTAACTCCTCAAGGTAAAGTCACATAAAATGAATCATATATATGGAGATAACGAACAGTATTCAAGATCAAAAGTCCATAAAACAATACTTAATAGGAGCAGAGCAAACACGGACCTCCAAATCATCAGAGGTGGGATCAGGTGCCACGGAGGAGTAAGCATCCCCTGCCAACCGGTAACACCCCTTGTGTGTTCCTTGTCATGATCGGCAAATAACGGAAAAAATCTGTCGTCAATTCAGTGTGTAAATAATGGACTTTCAGTTGATATGAAAAACATCAGTCAGCATTCAACTAAATGATAAATTGTATTTGCTGATAAGTCATTGTATCGACCATAGAAAATTATAACTTTAAATGAGACATCTGATATCCTTTTTTCATAAAATAAAATCGCTAAAAATCTACAAGCATAAAAAAAATGCGGAAAACCTTTAAAAATTGAAAAAATCGTAATTCCGTCAAAAATCTTCAAATGAAGCTGATGGAAATGCAAATTTGATCTGTAACTCATTAAATACACATACCAAATATTAGCCCAATATCTGCAAGCGTTTTGAGTGGAAAAACAAGCGGGACAGACTAACAGACAGAGGGACAGCTAGACGTATGGAAAGACAGACTCAAGGGAAACCTATAATCCCCTCCGGTTTTGGGACTTGTAACAGTAGATAAATAGAATATCATTTTTACAAACATGTATATCTTATCTTAAAGGTACATTTCATTGTTGCAGTTTAAAAAAACTGAAAATCATGAAAGTAAAACAATTTATTTCTGAGTTTGAGTATCAAATATCATAAAAATAAGACAATTTGAAGCAGAATTTGTCTGAAATTTTATACATGAAAAGAAAACACTTGCTTCGGCTTTCAACACGACAATTAGATATATCAATGACGTATTGTCAATTAACAATTGTTATTCAAATTCTTATGTAGATACGCTATATCCCGGTGAGCTTTAAATAAAAGACACCACAGAGTCCGACACATCTGTCACATATTTAGATATTTTACTAAGGACGTTAATGGTAAAACAGCCAAGTTATATGATAAACGTGATGATGATTTTAACTTTTTAATTATCAACTTCCCTTATTTATGCAGCAACATACATTCATCCCTTGCATACAGAGTTTATATCCCTTAGTTGATATGATAAGCGAGAGCATGTTCTACGAATGAACAATTTCTAAAACGAGATAAATTATTGACAAACAAGTTGCTGAAGCATGAATATCAGCAGTCTCGTTTAAAGTCATCATTTTGTAAGTTCTATGGTCAACACAAAGATCGTGTCAGCAAATACAATTTATAATTGAGTCAAATGCTGAATGGCGTTTTTCATTCTAGTTGTAATCCATTATATATACACTGAATTAACGACGGATTTTCCAGTTATTTGCCGACCAGGACAGCACACGGCGGGTGTGACCAGTCGGCAGGGGACGGTCACTCCTCCGTGGCACCTGACCCCACCTCTATAATGTTTTGGAGTCCATGTTTGCTATGTTCCAATTTTGTATTGTTTAATGGACTTTTGAGCTTGAATACTGTTCTATATCCCACATGTTTTATGATATTTTCTCCAGATCCCATAACAATATTAGAGAGACCACAGGGAAACTACACGATAATGCCAGGCGACACACTAAGTCTAGGAGTTTTGGCTACAAGTGAACCATCTTTGTCCTTACGCTTCAAGTGGACATTTATCAATCTGCAAGGCGAAGAACAAGTGGTCGAAGACAATGACATATGGAAGATATCCAGACCGACACATAACAATCTGACCATCGACGTCAGTCAGGTTTCTGATCCTAGTATTGTTCTTGGGGTATCAGGGGAATATATCGTGGACGTTTTCCATAACTACGACTCCGAGAGAATCAAGGTCACCATAGAAACAGAAACAATCTCTAAAAGTAAGCGTGTTGTATTTATTGGTTTGACTTATAGGTTTATACTTGTAAGAAATTCTCTCACAGTCACTTGAAGAGTTGTATGCCTTTTCCCATATATTTTTTAAGAAACTGTATATGTTACATAGACAGAGGCCTTATATATGTACATGCATTTATTTCACCGAAACTATTCAATTTTCTTCCTTAGTATTGATGCAACTTTATGAGAAAAGAAAACATTTTGATCTTTCTTTTTTTCTGACAGTTTTTCCAGTGGCTCCTCTTGTTCAAAAGGCCGATCTGAGTTTTATCATCTACATAGCAGTAGGCGTGGTATTTCTAATCATCGTCCTCATTGTCGTGTTCTGCATTGTTCGCAGAAACAGGGGAGGAGTGTATTCTGGTAAGCAATTACTATAAAAAAATTAATGCCCCCAAAGCATTCACACCTGTACAAAATAAGCCCCTCCCTCACCTGGAATTTACCACCCGGTAAAAAATCTCTGCCTTTAACAGTTTGTTTAAGTTTGGCACGAATTGTTTTGATGCCACAAACTTTCTCTTGACGAACAATCTAAAAGGTAACTCATAGAAATGCCCAGGGATATACATGTAGTGAAGATGAAAAGTTTACTGTATTTCATGGAAAAATTAAATCTTTGATTTTAAAGCTATAATCATACAAAAATTTATTTCGTATGCCAGGTCTTGTGTATGAACATTTTATGTACTACAGGAGCTTAAAAAATCTTTGTTTGTTTATAGTTCAAAAGAAGGAAGTGGCAGCAGGTCATGACCCTGAAAAAGAGCTGCTAGCGTGTGGTTTTCAAGACCTTTCAAGGACGTAAGTATCCATGGCAACTATAGAAAAGCTGTAGTATTTCAACATTTATGTGTTCATTTGTTGAACGTCGGAGGGAGGGAGCATTTTAAGGTTTCATGCATTTGTATTAAGTTGTAGACAGGTAATTATGTTTTTTTTTCCATTGAATGATTGGCAGGGGTACAGAAAATAATACATAAATGTCATGATACTTTGCATAGAAATTTATATTATGATCTACCTTAGGAACAATAAATTTTAAAGAGAGAGGATGTTTTATCCAACATATGAAGAAAATATTCAGTGCATATGGACAGAATTGGTCTGTTTTGACTAAAACGTACCACAATTGACCTCTTGAACCTAGTCAAATGAAAATTGATATAAACAATTTTCAAATAATACAATCTAACCATCTCAAAGCATTTGAAAAGTTTAAAAAGAGGGAAAATAAGCAGGTTTTATTATTGTGTGTTTGAAGGGACTCTGTCTAACCTCTGCCAATTGCTGGTGCTTTGTAGCTGACATCAGTCGGTAAGACGTCACTCGTAACTGTTGTATGCTTCTGTAGACTTTGAATTGTATATTGCAAGATCTTATCAATTCTATGTGCATCCAGAATGAAGATTGTTTGAAATAGAAACTTTATCTGATTTTATGTGGATATGTAAAAATATGAAGGCTTCTATTCTTAAGTTTATGTCTTGTTTGGATATTTCAGCTTATTTTACAAAATTTCTACATTCATCATTATTGCTTTTTAATTTCTTTATATATACAGAGGAAAACCTCAGAAGATATACAGTGAAAACAGATACAATCACTGTGAATTCCGACCTTTATTTTTATTTAATTCTTTTTTTATTTTTCAAGTTCTCCTTACACTGTGTAATCTGATATCCTGTCTATCCCGACACAAAACTTACTCACAGTACTTGCCTGATTAGAAAGGATTCAATCGATATTTATACAAGTTCATATATGATTTTTCTGTAAAGTGCAACATTTACAATGCATTGTTGTAAATGGATATTACTGTACGTGTAGAGCAATATTGTAAATGTCTGTATATAGATTTAACACTAAAAGGAATACATATACAATATGATAATATGCCAACAAACAATATTACATGTGTATTTATTTTGCAAAATAATATTTCCTGATTTCATTTAAAGATATTTAAACACAGCAAGATCTTACATCGAAACTTATGATCAAGAAAAACATTGAATTGAATTTTGTATATAACTATACTAATGTTAGAAAAAGCAGGATGCCATGTGGGAAACCATCATCGCAATGCCAGGGGTCTTGAGTCAACATGTTGTTGGACCCCTGGCATATTTCATTCAATATTCGAGGGCTGACTGAAGCAACGTCTTTCGGAAAATTACAAATCTTGATTGTTTTTCTTATCTCTCTACCAATCACATTAAGCCATTCTATGATTGATTGATTGTATGTTGTTTAACGTCCCTCTCGATAATTTTTCACTCATATGGAGACGCCACAACTTGCCTGTGGAGAGCTGCAATTTTTGTCCTGTACTCGGGACTAATAGCCATTGAGCAGTGAGGGGTCTTTTTCGTGCTAGCACCTACTAAAACACGGGACCTCAGTTTATACCGGTTTTAATCTCATCCCACAGCAGGATTCGAAGCCGCGACTCTAGAGCAGATGCTCTAACCACTGCGCCACGGGTCGATGCCATTCTATGATGAACAACTTGTAACATGTGCATTTGAGTTGTCAACATTTACGCTATCTAACTGTTTATCAAAGCTTTAATTTGTTTGGTCCATCTCAATAAAAGAAGCAAATCCTAAAATATCTAATGAAATATGTCTGTGGTCTGTCATAGTTGACTCAGTACCATGGCATTGCGAGGAAGGTGGGAAACTTCAAAAACATTTTTGATAATCGTGTACCATTTATAGGGATGAGGACGAAAGCCCTAACTACCCAGAGTATGACGAAAACCAGATTATTGATGACGACGATGACAGTCTGGGAGAATATGACGACGATCAAGAGCCAAACAAATTCAACGAGGACGGCTCCTTCATTGGGCTGTACGCCAACAAAAAGAACAAGAAGCCCCCGAAGTCGGAGTCTGACGTATAAAGACAACAGTATTAATTTCATACGAATGACATACTAGTAGAAGGGTGTGTGCACTGTGTGTCTTAACACCAGGGGGGAAATGCCAACTACATGAGGCTTGAATTACAAATTTTATCTTGCATTTTTCATAATAATCCTTGTTAGTTTAGGTGTGTATGAATGGTTGAATAAAAAATGCATCTGTGTTTTGATTGTCTTAATATCCGAATTATTTGAAAGAAAAAAGTTCCAATTCTTTATTATACTAAAATTTTTAAGTTAAATTGTTGAGTATTAGTTTATTTACAAACTATTACCTTAAAAAAAAGATGTGTTTGTGAAACACTGATGCCACAGTATGGCAGCTTATGGCGAGAATTGAATTATCTCAAATGCATGACTAACTCCAAAGGTGTAGGTCAAAAATGTTGGTACCCAAAGGAAGGTCTTGTTACAAGGAATACATCTGTGAAATACGAAAGTCCTAGTTCCATCTGTTTAAAAGTTATGACTAAAGTTAAAGTTTTTAAAAAGTTGGTCAAACTCTTACAGGTCGAGACCACTACCTTATATGGAAGGCAATTTTCAACACGTGACGATGTCTTCGTCACGCCCGTTCTCCAATCAAGTGAAAGATTCCCAAAGCATAACAGTCTACCACGTGTTTACGATTCAATGGCTACACGTGGTTTTCGTCGGTTTACTGCACAAAATTTAACTCGTCACCGGAAAAACTGTAGAGCTTCTTTATAACTTTATTAGACCGAAATTGAAAGATTATATTCTGAAGACACTGCTCCATGCTCACATTTAATACTGGAGTTGTTTTAGATGATTAACAGTTGCTTCGAATATCGTACAAACGCTTTGACTTTTGCATATACATAAAACACTTTCTGATAATATTGAGGGGTTAAATAATAATTGCACACTTTCTCCTGCTGTCTAAAAACAAGGACCTATATACTGCCTGCGAAAGCTATGTACACGTATATCACGTGAAAAAAACTCAATGTTTTATCGACACGATAGCACTTATACGTCTCTTTGAACAATGGTATACTAGGCTGATGTATTATAAGTTGATATAAGGCTTCATAAAGCGAATTTTGTAAATGTGAGCATAAAAATGAAAGATTATACATCATTTTAAATATTTCTTTCAAAAATTTCAAAAAAGAATTGAAAATAAGTTTCCAAGGGACAATTCAAGTTGCCTTTAATTTTCAACACAGCTATAGGTACTTGTAGTAGCCCACAATGCATTGCGGCTCATTCAGCAGTAGGCAAAGTAAACATATTAGCTAATTTACTTGCAAATTTATTCTGATGTCAGAAAATCTAGTGGTCTCGACCTGTCTTAAGGATGGTGTTTACTCAGGTTTCAGAAAACAGAAAGGAAATTTTATAAAGTATAATATGTTAAATTTAAAATTGTTCTAAATGGATAAAATTACGAAGTTTTAACTTAAGGTAGGATTCTTCTCACATTTCTTCTATTTAAAAATTAATGAAATTTTCACAGAATCAAAAAGACAATATTACTAAGTGATGGTATCAGTGAGATGAAATTTGACCATTTTATATTAGAGGCAAGGTCAGGTCAAGGTCATGACCTTTTCTCCTAGACATCAATAATAAAAAATTACTGTTGCCAATTATTCAATCCCTACTTGTATTTCAAAAGACTGAATGTTTTTCTTTTTGCCTAAAAAGATACTACTATAAAGGGCCTATAAGATGATATTACCAAATTGACATTAATAATTTAATTTAAATGGATATTGTCTAATCCGAATTTCCTCTACTTTTCTTAGATTTTTAGGATATATTAGTTATTTTTATATGCTTCCTATATTTAAATTTTTCTCATTTTCACATATGGTGAAGTTGTCACATAAAGGTACAAAATGATACAACTAAGAGAGAAAAAATACTTTTTACGGATTTTTGGCTCAAATCTGTAGTCAGACTGGAAGCTTATAAAAGCTTAGATATTTCTAGTTTGTCTGAAAAATCATATAAATTTGATATATTTAGGAACTTCAGTCCCTTATTATTAATTAAACTTACAATTGAAAATTTCTTCAAGTCTTTGATTGTTTTAAAAATTATAATTAAATTCATTGTTCTATAATAATTTTGAGAGGCAGAAAAGAAGATATTTTCATATGCCATCATTCCGCCAAAAATATAATCCCTGCTAGTTTTCAAACGCGGTTTACCATTTCTATTTAAAGTTGTACAATTGTGATGAGAAAAGAAAAATATGGTCCTTTAAATATCTTACACCTAAATATATGAACAAATAAGCAAATGTACTTTGGATATTTTTTCTAGTACGAAAGCAGAGAAGAATCCTACCTTAATATCAATATAAAAATTTCATATTTTATTATTTGAAGAAAATATACAGGAACTAAAGTCAGTGTATGGTAATGCAGAGGAAATTCGGACTAAATTTTCAATTTTTTTTCATTTTTGTCAAAATCTTTTATTTCTTGCAATATTAATCAAAATTTAAAGGTTACATGTGTTTTTAGTCATCATTTTGCAAATTTTATATGTCATAAAGCTCATAAATTATTTCAAATAACTGAATGCTATTAAATAAAGAAATTCAAAAATATGAACAAAAACCATTCCAGGCAACATATCTCAATAATTTGATCATTGACCCCATATAATGTTAATACCATGAGAATTACGGCAACAAAGGCAATATGAGGCTATAAATAATTTAGAGTTCTTATCAGTCAGATTTTTTTTAAATATTCGATTAAAAATGGTGGGAAAATATAACTATGACAGAGGAAATTCGGACTGTAATAATTATCAAGCTTATGGCCAAAACTCTAATCGTTTCTTTATATGAAGCATTACTGTTCCATGGCTTTAATATTTTATTATTTTAAGAGTTTTGTTGCTTGTGATATTTTGTGATATCGATTGAAGAAAAAAATTGGTCAAAGAGTGAAAAATTGAGGTATTTCCCAAAAATATTCAGGGGCCACTACCATGAAAAGTAGGTCATTGACCTAGTTATTTGAAATTGAAATTTAACACAAGTATTATAGGTGTACAATGTGCAATAGGTGGTTTTCCGTTCTTATCAGCGGAATTTTTAGTCATCTGAGTAAAGGTATACCTTAAGCCAAGGTCAAAACTATTTATACCAGCTGAAAGGTCTTGTCACAATGAATACAAATGTAAAGTATGAAAGCCCAAGCTCCGACTGTTCTAAAGTTATGGCCAAGTTTCAATCGTTTGTAAATATAGTTCAAACTCCAAGGTCAAGAGGTCAAATTTGATGCATATGGTACCCAAAGAAAGATCTTGTCACAAGGAATACACCTGTGAAATGTGAAAGCCATAGCCTCACCCACTCAATAGTTATGGGCTAGGTTAAAGTTGACACCAGACAAGCAACAGACACACAGGAGTGGACAAAAACAATATACCCCCGATCTTTCGATCCAGGGGCATAAAACAGGAATGAAAATGAGAACGTTAGGGAGGATATAGTTTGGGCCTGTTTGGTATTTATGCCCTACGTGTATTTTTGTGTACACGATTTGTGAAAGGTGATCAGCTAGGTTCATTGTCGTCTTTTAACCGGCGGACAAGTGTTCGCAGGAGGTTGGGGGTTGGAAGGGCAGATGATCATTGGACCGTGACCTCTCACTCCTCCACCAGTGAGTCTTGCTGCTTGGTAGGCCGTGACGATCATGCTTGTCTGCCTTTTCCATTTCTCTTTCTTGACATGTGCTCCTTTGTCAGGTTATGCCAGGCCGGTGTAACAAAAAAGTGCCCCCGTACAACGTTGACCTAGAGCCATTTTTCTACATACATATTTGAGACCATAGTCAATATTCTTCGTAGAAAATGCAACATTTTTTATGCACCCGTAATCGATGATTTGGCGGTATATAGTTTTTACCCTGTCCGTCTGTCTGTTTGTCCGCAAAAACTTTAATTTTGGCCATAATCTTTCAGGGAGGGGCTATGGCTTTCATATTTCACAAATGTATTTCTTGTGACAAGACCTTTCATCGGGTACCAATAAATTTGGTCTGGTGACCTTGACCTTGGAGTTTGTCTCACTTTTACAAAAGATTTCCGAACTTTAACCCTTGCCATATCTTTTGAATAGTGGATGTTACATCGTCTCAAGCCACGGTCCAGAGTCCGCATATAGCTCTCTCCTACCCGTGGCTGCTTGAGCACAAAAAGTTTCGTAATCTTGAGTATCTACGCCTCTCTATTGTGACGTCATATCCAGTAAGTGGCAAGTTTTGTTTCCATCGCAATTGAAATCAACAACTGACGTCAACAGTATACAAGAAATATTTCCTTTACTGCGATTGGATATTGAAAGGTCACGATAAAGTTCATCTTCCGACTATGCTTTACTCGCATTGGTCAAAATTTTAATGAGCTACGAAGAATTCTCTCCTCGTTCAACCACGGCCAGAATGGGAGAGGATCGTACAATTTGGCCGTGGTTTGCGACGGTGTGGATGTTAGGGCTTCCATACTTCACATGTGTATTTACTCAATCGCATCATCTCGGGTCTTTCCGTCAGAGGTCGGAGAAACAACCTCGAATGTATTAACATCACCGGATGTTAAAATTTTATACATTTCCTGTTTATTCAAATATAGGATAGACAGAGTTAAAAGTCACTTCTATAGTATATTTTAAGTAATATCATTACATTGTATAAAGTTCAACTCCATATTCCACAAATAAAAGGTATCCATACATTTATTTCAAAGATTGTGAAAAGGGAGGGTTGTCATGGCGTCTACCATATACATTCGAGGTCGTTTTTCCGCTAGTCGGAAAGGCCCGAGAAGTTGCGATTGTTTACTGTGACAATTCCTTTCAAGGTGACCATTTGACCTTGACCACAGAGTTTGCCAACTTAAAAAAATTACTTTGACCGTCACTTTTGAACTGTTATTACTAGGGCTTTCATATTTCATATATTCATTCCTTGTAACAAGACATTCCTTTAAATACCAAATACCTTTGGAGTTTGACTTGCGTTTGAGAAACTTCAAACCTCGCTATAAGCTGTGATACGGGGGCATCAGTTTTTCACAAACACATCTTGTTTGTAGAAAGCATGGCCTTGGAGTTATTTTTCTCTGTGTGAATTGTAACAAATTGACCCCGTAGAAAAATTACTCCGTGCAATTT